TTTTACCATAATTTGCATTAGCGATGAACTTGCACATCCCCAGAATGCACCTCTATCTGAACATCAATATCATGCTTCCTTCTACTCCATTCCGATGCAGGCGGGGTCATTCTATGGCACACGTAAACTAAGTGATGGGATGCTGGGGGTGTCAGTGCTATCGCACTGATCAGCCATAACATTATGACCACCCACCATAACCTGTCAAGGCATGGACTCCAGTGGACTCTGAAGGTATACTGTGGTATCTGGGTCAGTAGCAGATCATTTAAGTCAGGGGTGCTCAACCTGTGGCCCGCGGAGCCTTCTGATGTGGCCCTCAGTCTCAAACTAGGGAAGCACTCTATTACTTATATCCTGCAGGTTTCTAAAAGTACACCATGCCCACAAGATATAATAGCAGTCTATGGCAAAGCATGGCTAACCCACAGGACAGCTGCAGGTTACTGTGCTGCACACATGTTGCAGGTAAACCGCATTGGTGTGAAAGCAACCTTTTAGGCGGCTCAGGGCAGTAAGGGCTTGCTATCGTTTGTGGGAGGTAAAGCCCATAGTTGAGACATGTTTTTAACAAACACCTCAACCCACTGGTGTACCGACAAGAGCAGCAGTGGCTACCCCACCACATGCTCCAGGGGGCCCCTGCAGCCTCCTTGTCACTATTTTACACTTGGACAGGAGTAGTGGCGGGGGCAGCTTATACAGAAACTGTTCCTCTCTATTTGCTTTCAGCAACGGCTTCTCCTCAATGCTAAAACAAACGCCTGAACACAATTTTGATGTGTTAGTAAAGCCGTACATATCATCGCAATTACTTGTGCATCCAGGTGGATAATATCTTGTTTTTTTCACGGAAAATATCTCCTGAATTTTTTTTCTATCAAGGGAAAACTGGCCCAATATAGTAAAAAAAAAAAATAAATATTTTTTTTTAACCCCTTGCAAACCGTGCACTTTTACCCCCTTCCTGCCCAGGCCAATTTTTAGCTTTCAGTACTGTCGCACTTTGAATGACAATTGCGCGGTCATGCAACTTTATACCCATATGAAATTTTTATCTTTTTTTCACACAAATAGAGCTTTCTTTTGGTGGTATTTAATTGCCACTGGAGTTTTTATTTCTTGCACTATAAACAAAAAAATAAAATAAAAATTAGAAAAAAGTTTTTCTTTGCTTCTATTATAAAATTTTGCAAACAGGCAATTTTTCTCTATCACTGAGGTGCTTTGATGAGGCAGCACTGATAGGCAGCACTGATGGGCACTGGTGAGGCGGCACGGATAGGCACACTGATAGAATGCACTGATGAGGTAGCACTAATGAGGCGGCACTGGTGGGCATTGATGAGGTGGCAATGATGTGCACTGATAGGCACTGTTGGGCTCAACTGCTGGGCAGCACTGGTGGGCGGCACTGCTGGGCACTGGTGGATGGCTCTGCTGGGCACTGATGATCAGGGCAGAGCTGCTCTGTGACATTTGCCTGTCGCAGAGCAGTACTTGTGACATCATGAGGAAAGTTCTGCCGATAACCGGCAAATTTGTGATCTGCTGTTTCATTGGACACAGCTAATCACGTGGTAAAAGGCGGCTGTGATTGGCCATAGGAAACAGCGATCACTGACAGCACCGGGTGTGTTCTGGGATGACGTCATATGCTCAAAATTTGAGGTTTGAGATTTTCTGAATGAATGCAAAGCATTCTCTGATTGGAAAAGGTGGAGTGCGCTTCATCCTTCTCCACCTCTTCCAATAAGAGAACGCTTTGCATTCATTCAGAAAGTACAAAGCATTACAAAATACAATATAAATACAAAGCAATACAAATAAATACAAAGCAATGACTTCCATGCTGAGTGGCTGTGTTTAAGAATGCAGCAGGGCAACCACTCAGTACGGGACCCAGAAGCAAGTGGAGGTCGGTGTAGTAGCAGTGTCTACTTCCTTGATTTTCAGCTTCCAGGGACATTGACCCAGGTATATGGTATATACATTGGTACAGCCAAGGTGGGCTGGTGTAATTATGAATAGAATATCCATAACTGGAATTTCTCTTTAAAGCAGAACTACACAGCATCTAAACACCACAAACACCATTCATTTTTAATATTTAAAGCAAACTCCCCCATTCATGCTTTATTTTGCTGACGAATCACTTATAAAGACATCTCCCTAACATTTCTGGCTGTGGCAATCTTGAGTAAGGACAGATGATTCATGTATTATTTACTTCTTCCAATCCATCTGCCTTTAGCTCAGGAATGCAGGCAGGAGGGTGTGCTGAACTGAGAAAGCCTCCTGAAGATCCCTGGGATATGTGACATCATTTGCCTAGGCATGGAAATCAGGAAGCAACTTAAAGTGGAACTGCATTGCGTCTGAGTACCACAAACCAAAAATTCTATATAATTAATTTTTAATATTCAAAACAAACTTCTCCATCCATCCATGTCTCCATGCTTTATTTTGCTGAGAAATCATTTTGAAAAACACCTCCTGGCATTTCTGGCAGTGGCCCTCTTAAGTAAGGACAGATGATGTAGCAGTTATTTCCTGGAATCCATCTGTCTTTAGCTCAGGTGTTGGCTGAGCTGAGAACCCTCCCCTCCTGAAGACTCCTAGCATGTCGCATGTATGACATTATTTGCCTAGGCATGGAAACCAGGAAGTAAATGAAGGAATGTAAAAAAAAAGGTTAAAACTAGTAAATATATACTTAACTATCTGTTTAATACTAGCAGCATAAGGATTAAAATCAGTCAATGTTGATTTAGAGAGTGAAGTTCTGCTTTAAGTTCTTCTAGATCTGATATTGTATCTGAACTATGGAATAAAATCCACTTTCCTGTGTGTGGGATATTGTTTGAATGGATTGTCGACTATAGATAGATTATTCATATCAGAAGAAATTGATCATTTATCAACGTTTTTATGGCCACCCTTGGACAAAACCCTCTCCAAATAAGAACAGTTTTCTGCTGTATTACATGGCTCACATTTCTAAGGCATTTGTGGAAGATCTTGGCAGACTGGTGTCCGTATTTTATTTGGGATAGACCATATGACCAGTGCCTTGGCAGTGCTGGGATGTGAGATAACACGTTATCAAAAACTGTTGCATTAGCTTCTCATGATGTACCGTATTTTTCGCTCCATAAGAAGCACCTGCACCTAGATTTTAGAGGAGGAAAACAAGAAAAACTAGAAAATCTACAATTTCTGGGGAAATTGTGTAAAGTGTTCTTGCAAGTAACCTTTACCAAGTAATGATGAAATGTAAGCAGTGCACATAGCAAGCCTGATAGTGAGAAATGCATTTCAGCTTGTATTTTGGAGCTCACAGTTAGCCTCAATGGCTGCGTGTGAGTCATGTTTGGTTGCTATAGCAACTCATTCAGTCAGGAATGTCAGCAGGTCTGTTCTAAAAACACTGTTTAAACTTGCCAACTTCACTGGCGATTGCCATCTTCAAACGCTTGTAGTTTTAAAAGTATAAATGCTACTGCGAAGAGCTTGATATTGCAAGAATCACAAGAAACTGAGCTAAATTATGATGTATAGGATGTCTCTGAAAGATAAAAAATGAAGACACAGTCGCAGTTTAAATATGTCCCTTAAAATTTCCGGTGTCTAGAGTGGAGTTTCAATGAAAGTCAATGGGAGGGGTGAGGTGCAAACAAATGGTCATATTGTGAAAACTATAAGGACTATGGCTTAGTGACAGCAGGGTTAGCTGAACATTTTGATATAAGATATGTGTAGGTGGTGGCTTGAAAATGACAGAGTGATGGCAGTTTACAAATCACGTTCTGATTTTTCCTTCCACCCTGTAGCAGTGCTCTGCTGCCACTCTAGATGCACCATTCATTCCTATGGGAAAATTTCGCCACAAAAACCGCGATATTTCGTGAACGATTCGGCGAAACGTTCCACAAAGTAATAGCAATCCGATCGGGAACAATCCGCACGTTTTGATATATTACTTGTCTTTGTAGTGTAAAAACTGTGGGAGGAGTTAGCGTGGCAAATTTGGCTATAATAAGAATAAGAATATACTTGTGAGATAACAATAAGTGCTCTTGCCATGCAAGAACACTTAAATATTCTGAACCAATGGACTGCAGACATAGTACAGGAGATGACCAGAGACTGCGGACACAGTACAGGGGATGACCAGAGACTGCGGACACAGTACAGGGGATGACCAGAGACTGCGGACACAGTACAGGGGATGACCAGAGACTGCGGACACAGTACAGGGGATGACCAGAGACTGCGGGCACAGTACAGGGGATGAGCAGAGACTGCGGGCACAGTACAGGGGATGCAGAGACTGCGGGCACAGTACAGGGGATGAGCAGAGACTGCGGGCACAGTACAGGGGATGAGCCAGAGACTGCGGGCACAGTACAGGGGATGACCAGAGACTGCGGGCACAGTACAGGGGATGACCAGAGACTGCGGGCACAGTACAGGGGATGACCAGAGACTGCGGACACAGTACAGGGGATGACCAGAGACTGCGGACACAGTACAGGGGATGACCAGAGACTGCGGACACAGTACAGGGGATGACCAGAGACTGCGGACACAGTACAGGGGATGACCAGAGACTGCGGACACAGTACAGGGGATGACCAGAGACTGCGGACACAGTACAGGGGATGACCAGAGACTGCGGACACAGTACAGGGGATGACCAGAGACTGCGGACACAGTACAGGGGATGACCAGAGACTGCGGGCACAGTACAGGGGATGACCAGAGACTGCGGGCACAGTACAGGGGATGACCAGAGACTGCGGGCACAGTACAGGGGATGACCAGAGACTGCGGGCACAGTACAGGGGATGACCAGAGACTGCGGGCACAGTACAGGGGATGACCAGAGACTGCGGGCACAGTACAGGGGATGACCAGAGACTGCGGGCACAGTACAGGGGATGACCAGAGACTGCGGGCACAGTACAGGGGATGACCAGAGACTGCGGGCACAGTACAGGAGATGACCAGAGACTGCGGGCACAGTACAGGAGATGACCAGAGACTGCGGGCACAGTACAGGAGATGACCAGAGACTGCGGGCACAGTACAGGAGATGACCAGAGACTGCGGGCACAGTACAGGGGATGACCAGAGACTGCGGGCACAGTACAGGGGATGACCAGAGACTGCGGGCACAGTACAGGGGATGACCAGAGACTGCGGGCACAGTACAGGGGATGACCAGAGACTGGGGACCTTTGGGGAGCGGGGAATTTGACAGGTACCCGCTCCTACTTCCGCGGAGTTGTCCTTCCACTCCCTCCCCGTAGTCTTGTGGGACACGTGACAGGTCCCAGGTAAGATGAATGGTAAATGTATTTTTTTTTTTTTGCTATTGGTGTATACTGTTAATGTATGTGTGTGTGTATATATGTGTGTGTGTGTGTGTGTGTGTGTGTGTGTGTGTATATATATATATATGTATATATAATATATATATATATATATATATATATATATGTAAATATATATAATGTACTGTGTGTGTGTGTGTGTATATATTGTAGTTCCCATAGACTTTGTTACTCTACAAAGGTTTCACAAATGCAGGGAACACAGTGAGAATACTAACTGGCAATCAATCTGCATGGTATCCTAGTCTGAGATTAGAAGTGTAATTACATTATTGATTATAGTTTCAGATATAGGTGTCACATCTTCAGCACTCGGCTGACGGCACTTGAAAGTGAGATGTACCGTTATACGACGTCTGTTATGTTCTTTGTCAGACAAGATAATTGCTATAAAGGTCCCCATAGTATAATGGATCTCAGCTGAGTAGTGAAACTTTATGAAAGGTCTCCAAAGAGCATTGTCCATGTCCAAAATGGTCATATATCACCTCACCATGGCACATTTGGAGTCCAATAACATAAAAGTGATTTACATTATCTTACAGTAAAGCTAGCCATACATGGGTTAAAATTTGTCCGGTTCAGTAGGGATCGGCAGAATTTTGATCCATGTGTGGACAGACTGGTTGTACAGATGTCGATCTACCGATCGATTTCTGTACGATCGGCATGTTGGAAAATTTCTGCATGATTATTGCCGCCGGCTATAACCAGCAGTGTTGATCAGTGTTTTCTGATAGAGGGAAGTCTCTCCGCTGTCACAATACAATAGGTCAGCAGGAGTGATTTCCTCATCTACATCAAGTGTGTAAATGGGGGAATTGAGTCATTTTTTTTTTTTTTTTTCGCTCAACCCATTGGTTCAGCAAAAATATATGAATCATGTATGGGCTGCCTAAGATATTAAATTGGTTCTAAAGCCTTAAAGTTTTTTACCGTAATGCATTCTGTGCATCAAGGTAAAAATCCTACGGTGCTGCAGGATCCCCTCAGCCTCACCTTTTTCTTGCCTCAACCCGACCCGATCCAGCCATGTACATGAGAACAGTGGCTCTTGCCACTGTCTCCCTCCTCACTGGGCAGAGTGATAGTAGCAGGAGCCATTAGCTCCCGCTGCTGTCAGTCAAATGCTGTGATGGGGGGGCGCAAACCGCCCAGTCTGTTTCAGTAGACCCAGACAGGGTGGCATGGGAGCAAGCCTGCATGGGGCCCCATTGAAAGTATGACATGTTTGTTATTTTAATAAAACAAAAAAAATGAAGGTTTAATGTTACTTTAAGGTTGGGTTCACACTGTTCATGTTCTTGGTAATGCACATATGTAGGTATTAAGAATGGACCTCTGTATTTTCTATGTCGCGTTGTACTGCAGAGCATAGATGTGAACCATCCCCATAGAACAGGATTGTAGAAGATCCCCTCACCTCCAACCCTAGGGACATGGAAAATACTCACCTACCTAATTGTACCTGTGTATAGAATAGCTTATGAAAATAAAGTTCACTCACAAATTTTTGATTGAATCTAGGGTCCTTGGCTGGCATCTACCACCACCATCCCAAGTATTCTCTAGGTTATTTGTGCTCCACAGTATATGTGTACCTCCTTTTTGTGATATGCACGAGACTTAGTGGTAGGGTAAGTAAGGATTTCCCCACCTGTTGTGTAGCTGAGCGAGCAGCTATGTACTATTCAGAAGTATGGGTCCAACATGAAAAAGAGGATAAGTTGCCATTCAACCAACCCAGTGCATAGGTAGGGTAAGTGTATGCCAGGAGCATGAGAGGTAACTGATGTCATTTCTCTAAGCCAAAGCAACAGAGTTACAAGATATTCTGCTTAGAGTAAGATAAAAACTTGTTTATGGAATTGAACGTGTCTATGGCATCTAGTAATGTCACATTAGAAGATAAGAACCTATTTAAAGATGTCTACTTGCTTGAGAAATTAGAAATCTTTAAGTTTGGGCTAGATGAGAACAAGTTTAGGGTAGATAAGAAGCTGAACTGAAGTAAAACTGACTTTTCAGATAACGATGTGGAATCAATATGGTGGCTAAACATGACTCTCCTATCCTCACGGAACCTTTCTGCTAGTTCCTCCTATGGTGGGTGTGGCACCCACCCACTATTGGAAGGCTTCCAGAAAAATGGTTTAAAAGCCGGGAGTCCAAGCGAGACCGATAGGAAGCCCCTTAGTGGCCAGAGGACACTCTGACGCTGGGATTCTTGCAAAGGCTATAAGGCTCATCAATTGGTTGCGCTTACAGCTTCCCCATGACCCCCTGGGCAGTATGGTTCCGATGGGATTTGTTCTTTCCCACTTCCACATAGCTTTGGTAATGTATTAATTCTATGCTGTGACGCTGTCAAATGATGTGTCTATTTCATGCTGTAATGCTCACATGCTGTGTGTTATTATGCAGATTCTGATGACTATAAGATATATCCTCTTGTGTGTCGTGTGATAATAAAAGTGGAGGTTTTGACAGTGCTAGAATATTGCAGTTTGATTCTGTTATTTCTTGGAGTGCTGAGTAAATGCTATGATGTGCCAAGGCAGGTATTCATTGGGTAGAGGGTCTTTCACATGCGTAGAATATGTAATGGTGTAAATGCTGATTAAAAGTACCTGTATGACTACATGTTGATTGTGTGTGCGTGTATATGACTTGCTTTTAGTTATTGCACCCAGCGTTTGCCATTACAGCCACAGAGTGGGGCAAAACTCGTGGGGTTGTGTGGCTGCAGTGGCGTTGGCTAAGGCTCCATATACTTACACTACCTAAGCACCAGGTCAGTTGAGTGGCGACTTGTCTAGTTTCATGTTGTACCTCCTTTTTGTCCTTTACTAAGCATCTCCAACTTTTTTTTATTTTCATCAAACATTGTTTTTGCAAATCTGTGACTATAATGCTACTGTATCACTGATTCTAATGTATAATGACAGGACACAACAGCAGTAGGTTTTCTCATTGTAATGGTTCATTGTTGTACAGAAATGACAAAAATCAAATACAAGGCTTCTTTCTGTTCTTAACTTTTTATTGTTTTCTCAAGGCAACAAATACACAACCAATGCAAGACATAGCAGACAGAGGTTTGGCACACAGACCTACAGTGCATTAGAGGTCACCCAGCAGCATAAATAGGCAATATGGTACAGGAGAGATTATCAATGCATGACTTCAGGGCCAGTGTGGAAAGTCAACATTTATACAGATAACAATTGTGGGGTGAGGAAGCACATGAAGAAGAGAGTGGGGGTGGGGGGATCATAGAAAAGGGGGGGATCATCGTGGGAGGTTAGAACTAACCCCTTAACCATTAGATAAGTAATGTGGCCATTTACAGGTCTAGTAGATGCCAATCAAAATCCATGGCATGAGTTTAGTGACCCAGGGATCCTATGTTTTATTACATGTATGCAGCTTATTGTGAGTATCCAGTGTACTTTAGATGTTACTGCTTACACGGAGAGTGCATTTGTCAACCAAACTCTATTTACAATCTGTTTGGCGGTGGTAAATATACAGGTCAGAAGCCTAATTTGGTGGTTAGTGAGTCCAGGTTTCAAATTGAGCAATGCCATCTCCTGCAGCATCGGGATAGTAACGAACAAAAAGTATGTTAAACATATTGTAGATATGGTTCCATAAGGCATGAACAGTCAGACATGTCCACCATACGTGAACACAATTACCCGGTTTCAGGCATCCCTGGAAGCAGGTTCCAGCAATAAAGCATCCTTAAATCACTTAACCGTCGCCGTAAGGTTGTATCGAAATGTCCAGGAACTCAAGTGGTTGAATCAAGCTCACCGCAGCGACAGCTGTAAGCGTAAAGTGGTTGTAAACATCAGACATGAAATATGAACAAAGCATATCTCTCTATAATGTGTACTTGTTTCAGTTAGCAGCACTGTGGGGTTTATTTACTAAAGCTGAAGAGTGCAAAATCAGGCCTACTTCTGCATAGAAACCAATCAGCTTCCAGGGTTTATTGCCAAAGCTTAATTGAACAAGCTGAAGTTGGAAGCTGACTGTTTTCTGTACAGAAGTGAACCTTATTTTGCACTCTCCAGCTTTAGTAAATAAACACCAGCTTAATTTCTGTCTGCTGCTTCGTTCCTGTGCTATTAGCATGAGTTATGTCCTGACACCAAGAGACAAATGGTGACAGGGGAGGGACCATCCTCAGCTCTGTTCCTGTGTGCTGTGTGGAGGGGAGTGTTTCCCTTCCCTCCAATCAGCTCTCAGGGCTCTCCTCACTGAGCTCTGCAGAGTGTAGCTTCATCTCTCTACCCCCTTTTTTTTCTAAAAGCTCAGAAAGCTATACAAATTCAGCACTTTGAATGGGTGTAGAGAAGAGAAGACTACAGATAAACAGGTACAAATTATGTGGGAGGATTTGTCTCATCTCTGTGTATCACCTGAGGCCAGTCACTTCACTGGGTATAGGTAAGAGGTTACAACCACTTTAAGATAAGATTTATTGTCATTGCAAATAAAATCCACAACACAACAGGGATGTTGGATTCGTATCGCCCAACGCCCGGGAAATGTAGTTCCGGGCACTGGGCAGGTAGTTTTTTTCTACCTTTAGCCCTGCTGCAGGCAAGCAGTGGGCTCACATGTCAGGTGAAGCAATCGGTGGTAGCACTGCCGCAGATTTCTTCTACACAGTGCCAAACTCTCTGCGCACACCCCTGTGGGGTTTCCCGGCTTCACTTGCCCATCTGCGGGCCTGGCTTGCTGTTGACTGGAGGGGAGGGAGGAGAGCAGACAAGTCCGCTCCACTCCTCTCCCCTCCCCTTCTTGTGCTGACCCGGAAGTGACGTTACGATGTCACTTCTGAGTCCCCATTAACAGAATACAATCCTCGGGAATGAATGTAATATGGTGCGATGTGCACCACATTACATTAAGTGCAGTACAGGTGAGACATGCAGGGTCTTTTAGACCTTGGATGTCTATAAAGAGAACCTGTCACCAAAAGTTGTTTTTTTTTTTTTTTTTTTTTTTATAGTAAAAAATTAAAGTTACACCCAAGCACATACCATACCATCTCCCCCTCCCCCCCAAAAAAAAAAATTTTTTTAATATATATCTATTGCGGGTGGTCCGCAAGCGGCAAAAGGAGCTTAAAGCTCTGCCTGCAGCCTTTCAGCAAAAGCTGATTTTCTTTTTAATTTTCACTTTTTTTTCCATTTTTACCTAACAATATCATCAGTCAAAATTACATTCAAGGAACAAAATACTTAATATTTTGTGTGCTTGTCAGATAAGGTTTTCCTCCATACTCACTACTAATTTGTTTCATAGGCCGGTGGGACAGCTGGGATGTGTGTCGATCTGATTTTATTTCCTCTGGACACCATTAAAACCAGACTACAGAGCCCTCAAGGGTTTTCCAGGGCTGGTGGCTTCCGTGGCATCTATGCTGGTGTCCCATCCACTGCTATTGGATCCTTTCCTAATGGTAAGATCTTTTTCCAATGTAAGATGTGAACTATAGTGCCTCTGCCACTAAAGAAGCAAAAAAGTATAGAAACTTAAAGCTGAACTGCATCCTTATCTTTAGTCTCTCCTGCAAAATTGAATCGGTTCCTCTCCTCTATTGAAATTGCTTCTATGATTTCACTGCACACTGAGAGCCTCTCATAGTGTGTATTAGAAGCTGCAGCAAATCATATAGAGCTTGCCTCATTCCTGGCTGGAGGATGTCCACCATCATCTAACTCATTCCTCCCCAGCCTTGCTGTCACTGGCCCACTCTATTCCTTTACTAGATTTTAGTTCTTCCAGTCATGGAGGATCAGAATCACATGTGGTTGTCAACCAGTGTTGTCTGCATGCAAATATTGCCTGTCTAGGAATTCCCACTCCTCCAAACCGATATCCAGCCATCAAGACATTTATAACTTCTCCCAAAAGTCAGTCCACTGCTTACGTCAAGGCCAAGGACTTTTGTGAGGAGTATTGAGGCAGGGTGCTGTGATGTTTCAAAAAGCTGTCATGGCCAAAAAAATTGGCACCCCTGCATTTCTGCCTGATAATACACCACTTCACCCAGAAAATTGTTGCAATTTAAAATGCTTAGGCATTCTAATGGTTATTTCTGTAGTTCATATTGGTATGACACAAAAAAGTGGAGAAACAAAAAGCCAAATCTGACACATTCCACCCAAAACTTCACAAATAGACTGGACAAAATTATTGGCACCGTTTCAAAATTGTAAAAAATAATTGCATTCCAAATTTGTGATGCTCCTGTAATTTATAATTAAACTCACCTGTATCAATTAACAGGTGCTGACAATATAGAAATCATACTGGCAACCAGTTAAAATGGTGAAAAAATTACTCAGCCTTTCTGTTGTGTGTCTCTCTGTGCCACATGGAGCATGGAACAGAGAAAGAGCAGCAAAGAATTGTTGAGGATATGAGAACAAAAATTGTGGAAAAGCATGGACAATCTCAAGGTTACAAGTCCATCTTCAAAGATCCTAATGTTCCTGTGTCCACTGCGCGCATCCCTGTCGGGTACACCATCATTAGCATGACTGGTAGTATAGGGAAATCATGCTAAGAGCAGCAAAAACCAGGATTACAAATCTTTTCCACTCTATCCAAAATCAGAAAAGTATTTGTTTGGCTTGAGCTATACTTTAACCTCTTTACACCGGCTGCACACAAATTTGTGGCCTCCCGGCGTCTGGGCCTAGACGCTGAGCGGTGGCACATTTGCGTTCTATTAAAAAAGAACATATGTGCCGAGAGTGCGCGCTCCCAGCACATGTCTGGTACTTACGGAAAGGTCCCGATCTCCTCTTTCGATCTGGACTTTTCCCGATCATGTGACCGCCGTGACGGCGCATCACGGCGGTCACATGACCCTAAACCCCTCCTTCTGGCTTCTGGAACTCTTAAAGGGCCGGGAGGCGCTGGTGTGAAGGGGTTAAATAAAACTAGCATAAATGCTTGATTTTGACTTGATTACAACTGCCTGGGGGCAGGGGCCGGAGGGGGAGGGGGGGGGGGCATCACTAGGAGCCAGTCAGGTGCCCTACGTGCACATGAACTAAAAAGGAGAGAGTAAAGAAATCACCTTTTCAGTCTGTTGCTGCTTGTTTACCCACTTGACTTACCTGTACATTGCTGAACTGCAAGCGGTTATAACAGGATGAAGCCCGCAGCTGCAAGCATCATCCTGGCATCATTTTATAGAGCCAATGGACGCCTTTCTTGTGAAAGCAATCCAAGCTGGTAATTACCTGCTGGATCGCTTTTACAAGCAGTGGGAGGGGACGTCCCCCACCACCTTCCATGGCTCTCTCGGGCTCTTCTGTCCCACCAGGAGACCTGAGCAATCAGCAGGCGTTTATGCCAGCTGACCATAGAGGCAACCAAAAACCAGAACGGCTCTGATCGCCTCTACGGTATAGGAAGCTGAAAGCGATGAGCATTCATCACTTACACTTTTCCGGGATGTAAATAGCCATTTTTAAATTTGGAAAGTTCTGTGTGTGATCACACTGATCTTGGTGTGATCAAATACGTTTAAGGGCCTAACTGACCACAGATCTCTACATAAAGAGTATCGGTCACTGCCTATTGCTATTACAGGGGATATTAATATTCTCTGTGATAAAAATAAAATTAATCAAAAAAAATTTTAAGCAACGGTGTAAAAATAAATAGTAATAAAAAAGAAGCTTTTGAAAGTGTCCCCGTGCTTGCTTGCAAAGGCTAACGCATGCATTGGTCCTGCAGGCATGCAAACAGTGATCGTTCCACAAATGTGAAGTATCAAAACGAAAGTCAGATTGTGGGCAGTAATTTTGGAACCAGACCTCCTGTGTAAATCTAAAGGCTTTTAGGGCTAGTTCACACCAGATGCAGTCGAGTGTGGTTTTTTTTTTTCTGCATCAAAAATGCATGCATAGTGTTTTCTAATGGCCCTAGTTCACACCAGTGCCGTCGGTTTCCGATGCAGAAAAAAAAGTAGAATATGCTGCATTTTTGTCTGCACAGAACTGTACTGGAACATAGCAAACTGCTTCAAGACTGCACTAGAACGGAGTGTGGTGTGAACTGAAAGAAAAAACGTATCCGAAATGCATCCCGAGTGCATTTTTGTGGGGTGAACTTGCCCTTAAAGCACTGCCTATGGATAGTAAAATTTACGTGGTTTGTTGCTGGTGCACAGGCATGACATGTTTGTATCTGTTCACTCGGTGTTAAATCATCTTTTAAATTTTAACAAACAATTGGATTTTCTAGCAGAAAATACAGATTTTTACATGTAAACAAAGTGTCAGAAAAGGCCAGGTATGCAAGTGGTTACTGTCCAGTCACAGGCCAGAAGCAAGGAGGGGACCCAGTAGCATTGCTTCACGGCTGATGAAAAAAGTCAGGTGACCAGGCTGTGTAAATTGGCTGGAGTGAAATATAAACCCTTTGGCATGTTTACTGTATAATGGTGTATTTAGCTTTTTTTTCTGTAGTTTAGCTTTATTCAAAGCAAACATACAGCCAAAAGTAACAAGATACAATTACTAACCCACTGAAAGATAAAGTAACAAAACCAGCCTTTGTTGTAATATACACTTTTAATCCCCCACTGTGCTTCTCTGCTACCAGATGTTCTCAGTCTTAATGGCTGGTATCATTCACTCATTTTCTCTGAGCCTAGGTCATCCTGGACCTACCTCAGCCTGTGACTGGACAGTGAAAGGAGAAGCAGCGGAGTGATCAGCTCTTTTTTCGGTCATTGTTCTCTTCTCACATCAGAATGCTTCATCAGCTTGTGAACCACTAGGGACTGCTGTATGGTGATACCAGGTCAAAATCAAGCATGTAACCACTTCTTGATGGCGTTATAGGCAAAAGATGGCCACAGCGCAGTCGTCTAGTTCTGGGAGGGCGTCCATGGACATCCCCCCAGAACCACACCCCCGTGTGCCCCTGGAGCACCTTGATCAACTGATCACGTGTCCTAGTAAAGGGCCGTCTTTTACCTTGTGACTAGCTGTGTCCAATCACAGCTGATTTCAGTGTAAACTGACAGCGTGTGAGGAGAGGAGAGCCGTTAAGCGGCATTTCTCAGGGGGACATCTACACTGATCATCAGTGCCCTGATGGTCAGTGTAGCCTTATCAGTGCCCATCTGTGCTGGCTATCAGTGCACATCAGGGATCCACATTAGGTGCTCTTCAGAAATAAATGAAGCTACTCCCCATATATATATATATATATATATATATATATATATATATATTATATTATATATATATACGTATTTTTCGCTCCATAAGACGCACCTGACCATAAGACGCACCTAGGTTTTAGAGGCGAAAAAACAAGAAAAAAATATTCTGAACCAATGGACTGCAGACACAGTACAGGGGATGACCAGAGATGCGGACACAGTACAGGAGATGACCAGAGACTGCGGACACAGTACAGGAGATGACCAGAGACTGCGGACACAGTACAGGGGATGACCAGAGACTGCGGACACAGTACAGGGGATGACCAGAGACTGCGGACACAGTGCAGGGGATGACCAGAGACTGCGGACACAGTGCAGGGGATGACCAGAGACTGCGGACACAGTGCAGGGGATGACCAGAGACTGCGGACACAGTGCAGGGGATGACCAGAGACTGCGGACACAGTGCAGGGGATGACCAGACTGCGGACACAGTGCAGGGGATGACCAGAGACTGCGGACACAGTGCAGGGGATGACCAGAGACTGCGGACACAGTGCAGGGATGACCAGAGACTGCGGACACAGTGCAGGGGATGACCAGAGACTGCGGACACAGTGCAGGGGATGACCAGAGACTGCGGACACAGTGCAGGGGATGACCAGAGACTGCGGACACAGTGCAGGGGATGACCAGAGACTGCGGACACAGTGCAGGGGATGACCAGAGACTGCGGACACAGTGCAGGGGATGACCAGAGACTGCGGACACAGTGCAGGGGATGACCAGAGACTGCGGACACAGTGCAGGGGATGACCAGAGACTACGGACACAGTGCAGGGGATGACCAGAGACTGCGGACACAGTGCAGGGGATGACCAGAGACTGCGGACACAGTGCAGGGGATGACCAGAGACTGCAGACACAGTGCAGGGGATGACCAGAGACTGCGGACACAGTGCAGGGGATGACCAGAGACTGCGGACACAGTGCAGGGGATGACCAGAGACTGCGGACACAGTGCAGGGGATGACCAGAGACTGCGGACACAGTGCAGGGGATGACCAGAGACTGCGGACACAGTGCAGGGGATGACCAGAGACTGCGGACACAGTGCAGGGGATGACCAGAGACTGCGGACACAGTGCAGGGGATGACCAGAGACTGCGGACACAGTGCAGGGGATGACCAGAGACTGCGGACACAGTGCAGGGGATGACCAGAGACTGCAGACACAGTGCAGGGGATGACCAGAGACTGCAGACACAGTGCAGGGGATGACCAGAGACTGCAGACACAGTGCAGGGGATGACCAGAGACTGCAGACACAGTGCAGGGGATGACCAGAGACTGCAGACAGTGCAGGGGATGACCAGAGACTGCTGACCTTTGGGGAGGGAGGGGGAGCGGGTACCTGAATTTGACAGGTACCCGCTCCCACTTCCGCGGAGTTGTCCTTCCCTCTTCTTCCCGGGCCGGCTTCTGTGACAGCCGGGTGCCCACTGCGCATGCGCGAGAAGCGCTGCGCTTTGTGAATGGCCCGGCGCATTCTGGGACCTGTCGTGTGTCCCAGAAGACACCGGATCATTCACAAAGCGCAGCACATGCGCAGTGGGCACCCGGCTGTCACAGAAGCCAGCGCGGGAAGACTGTGCAGTGCTGGAGCGAGGAACAGGTAAGGCCCTGCAGGAGAAAACAGCTGAGCGGCCGGCCCGGTATTCTGACATGGTGGCCGCAAAAATACCGGACCGGCCGCTTTATATTTGCTCCATAAGACGCACTGACATTTTCCCCCCTTTTTGGGGGGGAAAAAGTGCGTCTTATGGAGCGAAAAATACGGTATATATAAAAAACAAATACTTTTTTTTTTTTTTTTTTTTTTTTTTGGGGGGGGTTGCTAGTTCATGTCCAAATGAAGCCTCCAATGTTTTACCTGTTATGCAATCAGGCTATATAACAAATAAATAGTATGGCATTATTTATTTTTAATTGTTTACTGCGCTAAAGCGTTTAACTTTTCCAAGCTGCCCTATTGCCCTATGCTGACAGTATATGTAACAGTCATGATCTGTCTCTCTAGCGTATGGGCAGAACAGGATGGCTTAGTACAGATAAAATGGTACTGAAGCTTGAAGGTTTTTTACCTTCATGCATTCTAGGTAAAAATCCTTCAGTGTGCAGCCCCTCCCTCTCCATACTCACTTGAGCCTGATCCCAATCCAGCGATGTGCACAAGAGCAGAAGCTCTCCCGGGTCTCTGCCTCCTCATTGCCTCTGCTCCCTCCTCATTGGCTGAGACACAGAAGTAGGAGCCATTTGCACCCAATTCTGTAACTCAGGGCCAGTCAGGAGGGAACAGGGGGTGGGGCGACAAGTGCTCTGTGTCTCTCATAGGGGCGGCTCAGGAGCAAGCGAGCAAACATGAGTGCTCCCAGAGCAAGCAGCTTGCTCTGGGAGCACTTTGCGGGGGGGGGGGCCTAGAGCGCACATGGGGGACCCAAGAAGAGGAGGATTGGGGCTGCTCTTTGCAAAAACCTTGCACAGAGCAAGTAGGTATAACCTGTTTGTTATTTATTTATTTTTTTTTTATCAGAACCTTTATAATCACTTTAAACACCAATGCATAGTAAAAAAGTTTAAAAAAGCCAAATTCTTTACTTGTAATGCAGCCTGACCACAAAAATAATAAAAAGTATAAGCTTGAATTGTGCTTTAAAGGTGTGAACTCCGGGATAAGCAAATAATGTCCAAATTAATTAAAAAGTCAAGTGTATTCTTCCTTGAATCTTAGTGTGCATTTTGTATTTCTTCCAGATCTGTGCAGTGAAACTTGTGCAGGAGCTTCCTGTAATAAAGACCAGTCACTGCTGCTCTCTCTCCTTGTGCAGGGTGACTGGTCTTGTCTCCGCCCCTCCTGTAGTTTTCTACAGGCAGCCTGTACTGGGTCCCTCCCACAGCTCTGCTTTCTGTATAGACTATGTACAGCTATCACTGCTTCTTTTACAAAGTAATATTTGGTAGTACAAAGACAGCAGGTGCACACTGTGTGGATTTATATTCTTTAAAGCTATTAAGGGAAATATTTAAACAAAAGTTTATGTACCTGGAGCTCAGCTTTATTAGATAGTTTACATTCGTGTTTTCTCACCATGTCTGCTTTAATTTTACCTTTAGCATCTGCTTTCTTTGTGACATATGAAACCATGAAACGTTGGCTTCGCTCTGATTCCTCTCCATACCTCTCTCCAGTAGTGCACATGGCAGCCGCCTCTGTGGGGGAAGTGGTAGGTACAATAAAGAATCTCAGCCTTAAAAAGAGAAGGATATATATGCATTAGTATTTTCTGAAATCATTTAATATAACCAACATTTACCTTTCTTGCTCTTATTTTTACAGTAGTGCAGGAGGTGGGGGGGGATGTTTGCTTGATGTCAAGGGCTTCTTCTGGCAGATTGTTGGCGCTGTTTCTTGGATTTGTTCAGACATGACATGTTTTCCCATTGTGTTTTTTGATCTCCTTGTAAGAAAAAGCTTTGTTGCTCATAGCCACCAATCCTTTTCCTCAATTTTAGTTGACCAAATATCTGCGTGGAGTATTTTCAAAGCATAAAGGACCACAGAAATCATATTTGTCTGCTTGAGTACAAATAGGCTGGGGTCTCGATCATTATTCTATAAAGTGGGTCTTTATGAATCAAAATTACTGTTTGAGAACACTTCGATGGCAGGTGCTCTTCTCTAACTTCTACCTTGCATGCTAGTGTCAGGATATGTGCAGTTGCTGGCAACTCAGTTGTTAATCGGAAGGAAACCCCAAAGTAGAAGATGAGTGACAGTTTTGCAAGGGAGGGTTATGACCCCTGTCAGATTTTTTTTTTTTTTTTCCGCCATATGTGTCCCATTGTGGAGATTTCCTTATATAAAGTGATTCTAAAGGCAGAAGGTTTTTTTTTCACTTTTTGGCATTCTGTGGATAAAGGTGTAAAAACCTTCTGTCTGCAGGTTCTCCCCCCGACCTCCCTAATACTTACCCAAGCCTGATCTTTATCCAGCAATGTGCTCGAGAGCAGCTGCTGTACCGTCTCTCTCCCTCATTGGCGCAGACACAGCAGCAGGAGCCATTGGCCCCCGCTGCTGTCAGTCACAGCCAGAGAGGAGGGAGCAAGGGATGGGGTTGAGCCCTGTGCTGTGTGTCTTTGGACACACAGAGCAGGGCTTGGGAGCGAGTATGCACAAGTGCCCCCATAGCAAGCAACTTGTAGTGGGGGCACTCAGCGGGGAAGAGGTGCTCAGTCGGCGATGGACCTGAGAAGTGGAGGATCAGGGCGGCTGTGTGCAAAACCAGAAGGTAAGTATGACATGTTTGTTATTAAAAAAAAAAAAAAGCGAGCCTTTGGTATCACTTTAACCGCCTCCTGCCAGTCATATAGTACAATGACGGGCGCAAGGCGGTTCTCTCGTTCTAGGAGGACGTCATATGACGTCCTCCCATTCTAAACGCGCATGTGCAGCACCGGGAGTGCTCAGCGCGGCGATCGACTGTGCGCTGTGTCCCTCGGACACAGCGGATCACCAATTAACGGAAAGAGCTGAAGATGTCGGCTCGGTCATGTGATCAGCTGTGTCCAATCTCAGCTGATCACATGTAAATAAGGAAATGCCGGTTATCAGCATTTCTCGCCTCACGAGCTGTCACGCTGACAGATCGAGAGGAGAGGAGAGCCGGTAATTGGCATTCCTTGGAGGGGACATGTACACTGATCATCAGGGCTGATGATGAGTGTGCCCTGATGATCTGTGTAGCCCCAGCAGTGCCACCTGTCAGTGTTCATCAGTGCCAACTGTCAGTGCTCATCCATGCCACCTGCCAGTGCCACATTTCAGTGCCTACCAGTGCACATCAATGCCACATATCAGTGCCCATCTGAGCTGCCTTTCAGTGCCACCTATCAGTGCCAGTTAGTGCCAGTCAGTGATGCTTATCAGTGTGCATCCGTGCTACCTAACATTGCCCATCAGTGCCGCCTATCAGTGCCAAATATGAGTGCTGCCTTTCAGTGCCCATCAGTGATGCCTGTCAATGCCCATCAGTGCCTCCTAATCAGTGCCCATCAGTGCCACCTATCCGTGTCCATCAGTGCAGCTTATCAGTACCCATCACTACAGCCTCATTAGCACACATCCGTGAAGGAGAAAAATCACTTATTTACAAAATTTGTATAACAAAGACTAAGAAAAAACTTTTTTTCAAAATTTTCAGTGGTTTATGTTTGTTTAAGAAAAAATAAAAAACCCAGAGGTGAGTAAATACCACCAAAATAAAGCTCTATCTGTCACAAAAAAATTATAAAAATATCATATGGGTACAGTGTTGCATGACCACACAATTGTCATTCAAAGTCTGACAGCACTGAAAGCTGGAAATTGGCCTGGACAGGAAGGGGGTATAAGTGCCCAGTAGGCTAGTCGTTAAAGTCATCTTAAAAATGGAGTTAGGCTTTAAATGTGTGGGTTTTTTTTTTTAATGGAAACTACTAAGTCATTGAATTTGACTTGATATTAGTCTCTTGTGATCCCCTGTATAGGGAGGGAAGAACAGCACAAGAAGCCAGTCCGTTATGGTGCGGTGGTTGTGCGCAACAAGGAAAATGCTGATAGGAGGAGAGAGCTTAGTGATGAGAGAGCTGCTCAGTCTGCTGCTTCTCCTTCACTGTCCAATCACAGGTGGAGGGAGGGCCAAGGCCTGTAAGTGTTACAGCAATATTAAACCCAAAAGCAAAGATTTATTATAATGCAGCATACCAATTCTTAGATGTGATGATTGCATTTTTTCTTTTTTTGGCTTCTTTTCCTCTTTTTTTTTTTCACTTGGTGTTCTGGCCATTAAGTCTGTTTTTCAACACAACAAGCTGTCCTGCAGATGAAGCAGTTAGGTGTTTGAACAAACTATTTACCACTGACAGGGTGGCTTACATAATCACTTTTTATTCATTTATGTAAAACATTTATTCCAAAGAGGAATAAACCTATATGTTGTAACTGTTTATAAAGTGTTAGCTCTTCAGATTTCTAATAAGATCATGGACACATCCTTACAACCCGATATACGTACCTCCTGCCTATCCATACTCCCAGGCTCCTTCAAAGCCATCCGAAAGTATCTATTACAACATACCTCTCCTGGCTCTCATCCTACCTGTCACAACGCTCTTTCAGCGTTACCTATAATGCTACCACCTCCCCCTCACTCCCCCTCTCTGTTGGGGTCCCTCAAGGCTCTGTCCTCGGGCCCCTTCTCTTCTCCATCTACACCTCCTCCCTTGGCCAACTCATACACTCACGGCTTCAACTACCACCTCTATGTCGACGACACACAAATCTATCTCTCAACCCCCCCCACCTCACCCCCTCGGTCTCCGCCCGAATCACACACCTACTGAGAGCGACATATCAGACTGGATGTCGCTCCACTTCCTTAAACTGAACCTCTCCAAAACCGAGTTTCTTGTCTTCCCCCCAGCCCGGACACCACCCCCATTGACCTCACATCCAACAACGCCACCATCAAACCCGCCCCGCAGGCCAGAGTACTTGGTGTCATTCTGAACTCCTACCTATCCTTCCAGCCCCAAGTCCAATCTTTAACTAACTCATGCAGACTCCACCTCCGCAACATCACCAAAATCCGCACGTTCCTAACCCCAGAAACCACTAAACAGCTCATCCACTCCCTCATCATATCACGACTCGACTACTGCAACTCCCTCCTCACTGGCCTGCCTCGCCGCTGGCTATCCCCGCTTCAGTCCATCCTGAATACGGCTGCCAGACTCATTCACCTTTCCAACAGCTCCGTTTCCGCCACCCCCCCTCTGCCAATCCCTCCACTGACTTCCGATTGCGCAACGGATCAAATTCAAAATCCTAACACTGACGTACAAAGCTGTCCACCATACTGCCCCGAACTACATCACTGACCTAATATCAAGTATCGCCCAGCACGCACACTCCGCTCCTCACAAGACCTCCTTCTCTCTAGTTCCCTGGTCTCCTCCTCCCATGCCCATCTCCAGGACTTCTCCAGGGTGTCACCCATCCTCTGGAACTCCATGCCCCAACCTATCTGATTATCACCTACTCTCCTCTCGGCGCACCCTGAAAACCCATCTCTTCAGGGAAGTCTACCCCCCCCCCTGCTAACCTGCCGACCTCCTCCACTCTTCCTACCACTCCATCCCCCACAGCTATCTCCTCCTGTACCACTATCCCCTCCCTCCTAGATTGTAAGCTCAAAAGAGCAGGACCCTCAATCCCCTCATGTTTTGTATTGTATTGGTATTGTTCTGTCACCTGTCCCCCTTTGTAATGTACAGCGCTGAGCGAACCATTGGCGCTTTATAAATACTGTATAATAATAATAATAATAATATGATCACTGCGGCCCGAACTGTGATCGTTCAGAATTGGCGCAAACCGATCTGCCCTCCTATGACTGAATGGGTCTGTGAAATGAAGAATGGAAAAGATGATACACACTGAAAAGAAACCTCTAGAGAGACTACCGGTCACTTATTTATTTATTTTTATGATTTCAGGTACTTATATAGCGCTGTCCATTTTACGCAGTGCTTTAACATATATATATATATATATTATACATTCACATCAGTCCCTAACCCTCAAGGGGTGTACAATCTAAGGTCCCTAACTCACATTCATACATACACATACTAGGGCCAATTTAGACAGGAGCCAATTCACCTACCAGCATGTCTTTGGAGTGTGGGAGGAAACTTGTCTTCAATGGGAATATTTTCACACCTCCGAAGCTTTTCCACAATACTTTTGAGGAGTAGTCTGTCCCCTTCTTTTCTCTGACCATGTCTCCCATGCCCTGAGGATGGAACCGTACATTGGTCCCCTAAACTCCCTATTTTTCCCTGTACTTAATATAGTCTATTTTCTTTTGCATTGGTATTTTGTTGTACTTTTGCAGGTTGGGTATTATATGTTTCTTTATGATTAACTGCCTATTGTTAGACTCTAAATACACTTGAAGCGTAACTACACTGAATCTGGGCACCACAAACCAAGAGCACTATTTATTTCATTTTTATTTTCAAAGCAAACTCACCCATCTATCCATGTCTGCATGATTTACTTTGCTGAGAAATCACATAGAAATCCCCTCCCCCCAGCATTTATGGCCATGGCCATCTTGAGTAAGGGCATATGATTCATGTAGCCATTACTTTCTGGAATTCACCTACCCTTAGCTCAGGCATGCATGCTGGAGGGTGTGCTTAGCTGAGATAACCCCTCCTGAAGCCTCCTAGGATGCATGGCATCATTTGCCTAGGCATGGAAAATAGGAAGTATCTAAAGAAATGTAAAAAATAGTTTAAAAACAAGTAAATATGATATACTTTCCTATCCATTTCCTAATGCTAGTAGCATAAGGATTAACATAGTCAGTATTGATTGAGAGAGTGAAGTTCCACTTTAAGGCCGGCCATACATGGGTTGAAATTCGACCGATTTTTTTTGTCCGTAAATTGGACCTAAGAATATTTTTTCACTCTGTTAGTGGGTCAATGGCACTGGCTGATTTTCGAGGTTCCTCCCCTTTTCAGTGATCGGGCATGTTGGAAAATTCCTGAAAAACGTCCTATTTTCAACTCAATGACGGTCACATCGTATGATCATTTTTCAGAAAAAAATATGCACGAGCCGCGACCTGGAAGGAACAGAAGTTTTGCCTGTTATATGGGGTGAACTTTATGACTTGGTTGGCCGATTTTCAAAATCATTAATGGCACCATCGGATTACTGAGCGAACGACGGTTTTGATTTTCAGACGAAAAAAATCGTTCAATTCGAACCATGTATGGCCTGCATTGGATCCCTTTGCAGTAGCCGTTCATCTTGCTCTAGACTTCCCCACTCTGGAAACGAGGATTATTTCTTATGGTTTTCCATGAGGCAGAACTACATGATATTTTTTTTATATGAACCCCAACATTATACCATTGCATACTCTATATGTAAGCTACTACTTTTGTGTGACTTACACCAATAAGTTCTGTATGTTGTTCAATGTTACTCTATTTCTTCATCTGGAAACTCGTCTATTGTACTCTGAAAATCTTTAATAAAAAAGAGATTCTACAAGTGTTAGCTGGAGTTTGGCTTCAATTTGTTAGTGTATTTAAATCTGTCAGTACATCTAACACTCTCCCCCCCGACTATCCAAAGGTGCCTCCTGTGCTCCTTCATCCGGAGTGGGGGGCACTCTAATACAGTAGGTGTATTACTGGCCAGATCACCGGGTGAAAACAGAAGGAAAAAAGCCTACAAAAAAATAAAACTAATGCAGCCCCCACATCTAATGATTGGTAAGCTGCAATATATTACTTTTTTAGTTTTGGGTTTAATACCCCTTTAAGTGAAGCATAGTGCAGGTCTTCTGACCTACAAGACAGGTCTATGCTGTGTGACAAGGTCATGTAAATCTAAGAGTTCCTATGGCAGAAAAACAGAACTCCTATATGTTTTTCATGAGTACATTCGCTTTTTAGAGTTCAGCATTAAATTCAAGAAGGTTTCTGGCTCAGAAATTTTTTTTTTCTTTTTTGTGTTTAATGAATTCTTATATGAGAATTATATTTACCTTTTATAGTATATTTCATACTTCTGTCTGCATCAACTCTCCCACAATGAAATTACACAAGAAGCCATTTTAATTTGAAATCGCCTCCATCTGTATTACCAAGGTGCATTCCATCAGAATAAAAATTGAAGTTATTTGTGATGTCATTTCTCGCACATGGGAGAATCTCTGCTGCAAAAAATCCAAATGATTATCCGGGAGCAGCTCTCCGGTCCTGTAAATAAACATGTCATCGATGTAATGCTTAGAATTGGATGGGGAAATTACAACAGCATTGTGACTGCTGGTGGTGGACGGCTCCATGACACCATGTACATTCCTTCTGTATCGCTAATATGACACCGCGATGTGACTTTCCCATCTCGTCTAGATAACAATGCCCTTGTGTTACAGGAAAATAAGA